ATGGGCTCTAAGGCCTCCAGCTGGTCTTGAGGAGGTTGCCATGGGATCCAGACCCACAGCTGGGTTATTTGGCTCTGAAGTGTGTGAACAGATCTGCACTCTTCTGCATTTAACTTTTGGGGTGAATATTATAAAATAATCCTATAAATTGTCCTGTATTAAATGTTTCCTGTAAACGCTGACTGCATTACCCACCTGGCCTAGAACTTCCTATAGTGCTGAGATTATAGATGGGCACTTGCATGCCTGTATCAGTACAAAATAGCATGACAGGAACAGTTCACCATGATGTTGACTGTTTAAGAGATGAAGAACCAAACCTTTGCAACATTTGAGGGAGAACTCTATATTTAGAGAATGCAGCATACAGAGGTCCTGAAGTAGGACTTCTGCATAGAGAATGCAGCATACAGTGGTCCTGGTACTGTACAGGAAAGCAAAGGAACTGGGGACAGGAATAGACTAACTCAGGAGAGAAAGAGGTGAAGTCAGAGCAACATGTAATCCTAAATATTTTGGCTTTGAGTGAAGCCAGAAGGTTTTGAGCAAGGGATTGAGATTCACCTGCCCATTGTGGCTACTATATGATGAGTCACTGTGACGGTTTATGTTTGTGGTGTCTTTCAAAAACCACGTGTGTATGGAAAATGATTGGATTATGGCGGTACTATAACTTGTTGGGGGGGGGGGGTCACTGCTGTTGTAAAATGGAAGGATGTATCTGTCCTCAGCTCCTCCCTTCTCCATCTGCTTCCTGGATGCCATGATGTGAGCAGCTGTTCCTCTCCTATACCTCTCAGCCATGCCTTTTTTGCTTTAGACGCAAGTGCCCGTGGATTGCAACTGTGAGCAAAAATAAACCCCTCCTTTAAAATTCTGGATATTGAATATTTTGTATTTTGTTTCAGCTACAGAAGCGCGACTAAAATTTGGGGTATGACAGCAAGTACAGAGGCAGAGGAAGGAATAGGAAGTTGACTCTGTCACCCAGGCAAGAGGTGGAGCTCTGAGTAGTAGTGACACAGAGATGGGAACAGTCAGATTCTGGACACATATGTATGGAAAGCAACCCAAACATTTGCTGACAGATGGATACGGGAGGTGAGAGAAAAAGGCAAAGATGACCCCGAGACCGTGAGCCTAAGAATTAGAAGAGTAGAGCTGCCACTGATGGGATGGGGTGGCTGTGGGAGGGAAGCCAGGAGTCACATTTGCCACCTGGAACATCTGCTGGATGTCAGAGATGGTGAGAAGGTGATAGGTATATAAGGCCAAGGGGGGCTGAGCTAACCAGCAGGTCTGGGGGCACAGTTTTGGGCCAGTGGTCCTTAGAACCTGAAGACTGGGTGATGTCACATGGTCAGATGTAGCTGAGCGAAAGAGCACCTGGGAGCAACCTCAAGTCTCAGGTACCCCAAGAGCAGAGGAGCAAGCACAGCCAAGGAGGCAGGGAATAGCAGCCTTTGAGATGCAGGAGGAACAGGATGGTGGCCTGAAAGCAAAACTTCATCTTTTAAAACAATGTTTTCAAAGAGTACTTACTACTGGGGGAAATGCTCAGTACAGGTTGTATGTGGGGAAAAGCAGCAAATGAAGCAATGTTCGCAGATACTTTCTCTCCAGTGGTCGATTAATTATTTTCTTTACGGTTTTCTCTGTTTACTTAATTTTCAACACTGAGCATGTATTAGTGTTACCTTGCTAGAGGAAGGTATTTGGAAACATTCTGGAACCTATGTGTACTCCCAGTATATGCCTGTGAAAGAGAACTTGGGCTTTGTTTCCACAGGAGGTGCTATGGAAAGAGGAAAGTCACGCCTATCACAGGGGGCTTCAAGTCCAGCTTTGATGGCGGCAGCAGCCTCTGGCTGGGATTCTGGTGCAGTCTGACAGATGGGCAGAACAGCGGTTTCATTAAAAACAGTTTACTACCATCTGTGCCTCCCAGTACAGGCTCCCAGTACTGGCTCCCGACACAGCTGCCCCAGGCTCCCTCCTTAGCCCCTGGGGGGCTGCTCCATGCTGGCCCCCACACTTTGGGGCAATGTCCTTGATCCTCTGACTTCAGTCCCATTGCTCCTGGTTCAGGGCTAAGCTCCACCTCGAGATGCCATAGGGATGGACTCTCCTGAACGACTGTCACCTCCAGCTTCTGAGAAAACCCTGCCCCCAGAGGCTGGAGCCACATCCACCTGGATAACACCATGCACCTGGGAGAGCTGTGGACTGTCCAAGCTGGCAATGAGCTGGCGGGGGCCTGGTCTCACAGGCACAAATGTCTGGCGCAGGGTCACTGTCTCATTGCCCCCAATGTCCCTGTGGAGAAAGACATGGTTTTAGGCCCGGAGTAGTGCAGGGCGCTTGGGGCTGTAAGGACTGATTCAGGGCAAGCAGGCAGGAGCAGCAGGAACTTCCATTCAGGCATCTGGGCTCAGCTGGAATCCACACCCATGACCAGAAAAGCCTGAACTTCAGGGCCACATTAACATCACCACATCAGCAGCCACACATCCAACTGGCTGTGCTAGAAATCTCCCCACCATCTGGGCTCCTCCCTGTCTCCGCATCCACCTGGGCAAAGTCTGCCGATGCCACCCAGAGGCAGCTCACAGCTTTCCCTCTGTCACCATGGCTCCTGCTCTGACCACACCATTGACATCTCACTGGGGTTCACAAGAACAAATCCTTAAAACGAGACTTGGGGCCCCACACAGCGTTGCAAATACTAAATAAGTAAATTGAACAAAATGATTCTTTTCAACCACAATCACATTTCCAAGGAAAAAGCATTTGAATCAACCAAAATATTGGATGTTATCTTCAAAAAAGCAAATCCTTCCCAAGAACAGATAACTGGCATCTGTAAATGGACACACACTTGTATGTCTGAGAAGTGGGAGAAATGTTCACATACCTGTTATTGACCTTCATGAACCTCTGAAAAGTCATGCATGGACCACCTTTCTGGGAATCAGGAATTTGCCCGTCTTCTCCCTGGCCTCCTTGCCTCCTTTCTGTTCCAGTCCGCTGACCATTCTGATGTAAACCAAATCCTTCAAGGGCTTGGCTTCCTTCACTTCAGGGATAAATTCTGTATTCCCTAACCTGTCATGCAGGCTCATCTGACTCAGCTCCTGCTGCCTGTGGGGCAGCACCATCCCACCACTCCTGCTGACCTTTCTGTTCCCCAGACTCCCCATTTTTGTCATGTTCTGCATCTCTGCCTTTCCTGGCCTGAGCCCCTAGCTCCATCTCCTACCCTTTTCTTCCAAGGCCAGCCTCACCCTACCTCCTCACTTTGTGCTTCTATATAAATTATCTTTCCGTGTCTGAGCTCCTCCAGCAGTCTGTATGTTGTGTATTAAGCAGCAGGTATGACTGCAGCTGACAGTGCCTGCTAGCTTCTATCCTTCCTCCTCTGCGTAAATCTTTACCTCTGGCACCCACTCAACCCAAGCATGCATTGGGGTCCCTCTTTGGAGGCTCTTTGGGTGATGTATTCAGCACAATCCTGTAGGGAAATAAGCCAACATCTCCAACTCTGAGGATGAGCCCTCTGTGGGCCAAAGCCTTATACCTGCAGTCTGCTTTTTTTTTTTTTTTTTTTAATTATTTATTTAGGGGCTGGAGAGATGGCTCAGTGGTCTAAAGCACCTACTTAGAACAAGCTTGGCAAGGCATCAGGGATCACGGTTCAATCCCCCAGCACCACATGCCAGCCAGCCCTGCCCCCTGGTGGGCTGAGCTGGCCACACACACACACACCACTCTCTCTCTCTCTCTCTCTCTCTCTCAAATAAATAAAAATTAAAATTAAAATAAAAAATTAAAAAAAAATTATTTATTTATTTGTGTGTGTGTGTGTGTGTGTGTGTGTGTGGCCAGCTCAGCCCACCAGGGGGCGGGGCTGGCCGGCATGTGGTGCTGGGGAATTGAACCGCGGTCCCTGTGCTTTGCCAAGCTTATTCTAAGTAGGTGCTTTAGACCACTGAGCCATCTCACCAGCCCCTGCAGTTTGCTTCTGAGAGTGTTTCCTGGGCTGGTCTCCTACTGCTTATTAGCTGTGTGGATTGTGATAAGTTACTTAACTTCTGTGATTCTCACTTTCTGGTGCATGAAATGGAAGTGAATTAAAATGAGGGGGTGAGAGCCGATGACCTTGAAGGTGCCTGAGTTTCTGAAGGTCAGCAGGAGTATCTATCATGCTAGGAAGTCTAACCTGAAGCTTATAGTTTAACATCATATTTTGGCTCAGCATAAATCTGCATTAATTTTCTGTCCATATCTCCATAGACAAGCTTAACAGTCGTGTAGTCTCACGACAGCCTTTGAATGTGTATTTCACTATCACTTAATTGTAATTTTTCAGTGACTTTTTTTTGAGACAGATTCTTACTGTGTAGTTCAGTTTGGCTATAAATCAATTCACTGGGCCTCCAAGATAGCTCAGTGAATTTAAGGCCTGCTTAGGCAAATACGGGGACTGGGGTTCCATCCCTAGCACCACATGCCACTCTGGCCCACCCATGGGGGTGCTGAGCCGGACACTAAAACTGGGCATGATGGCACATGCCTGTAATCCCAGTGCTGGGGAGGCTGAAAACAGGATCATTATGAACTGTGTAGCGAAACCCTGTACCAAATACATTAAAACAAAAAACCTTACTTTGTAGCCCATGCTGCTTTCAAACTCATTGTGATTTACTTGCTCCAGCCTCTGCAGTATCAGGATTGCAGCCAACTGGCATATAGAAGGTGCTCAGTCTACATGAATAAAGGGAGAAGATCCCTGGTGACATCTCAGCACAGTGCAGAATATTCCTCTGGGAATGAATACTTTCCAAACTGCACTTCAGTCTCAAACTTTGTGATGACTGACAGATAGGGGGATTGTGAGGTGTATAGAATTTGAGACCTTGAGGAATTCTATATCCAAGGAGAAGTAACCACAGCCAGTGGAGGCAGAAAGATCTACTCTTATTTGCTCCTTCAAGTTTTTAGCAGAGGGGTGAGCCCAGCATCCCAGCCTTGTGTATCTAAAGAGGCCAGCATCTGGAGACAAACTTCTTTTCGGTATCCTAGCTTTCTGTAGCTCAAGGGATTGTCCTCTCAGGACACAGAGGCTTCTGAGCAGCAGGGTACACTTCTGTTGACAAGCCTGACACCATGGGGAAAGGAGACAGCACAAAGGCAGCACCAAACACCACATCAAATCGCAGTGTCCTAGAGGAGTATAATTATAAGGTGGGCAAGGTCATTGGCACTGGCTCCTATGGCACTGTGTATGAGGCTTACCACACAAAGCAAAAGGTCATGGTGGCTATCAAGATCATCTCAAAGAAGAAGGCCTCTGATGACTACTTGAACAAGTTCCTGCCCCAGGAGTTACAGGTTAGTAGTGAGGACAGAGGGGCATTGGAGTTTATTACTGAGACACTTGAAGTTTCTCAGAATGGTATGGCTGGCCCAGAATGGTATGGCTGGCCCTCAAACCAGAACTGGACATCTCACTAGACAGACAGGAAACTTCCCTGGTGTATTTCCAACCTGTTTTCCACAAACAAACTCATCTCCAGCCCCCTAAAGTATAGAGGGTTTGGCCACAGGATCCTGCCCTTAGAAGTGGAGGGGTGGATTCTGAGAACATAATGGGGTAAGGATGCTGGAGGGCTAGGAGTAGAGCCAGGGTTCTTTCCCAAGTTTGATGGTTGCCTCTCCTGGGGTCAGGTAATGAAAATCTTGCGGCACAAGTACCTCATCAGCTTCTATCAGGCCATTGAGACCACATCTCGAGTGTACATCATTTTGGAGCTGGCTCAGGGTGGTGACGTTCTTGAATGGATCCAGCGCTATGGGGCCTGCTCTGAGCCCCTTGCTGGCAAGTGGTTCTCCCAGATGACCCTGGGCATGGCCTACCTACATGGCAAGGGCATCGTGCACCGGTGAGGGCATGCCCACCCAAACTGGGACCCTCGGGCTCTCAAGGGGGCTGTATACACATTGACTGTTTTCTTTATATCTCCCTGCTCCATAGGGAGGTACATTATCCACTCCAGTTGAATCAACTGATCCTGGACAATTACAAATACACTGTATACAATGAACTATTAATGCCCCTCCAAGTAACATCAACTGTGTTCTTTTAATCTTCCCACAATTCCATGGCTTCTTCACTAACTTGCACTAATGGTAGCATCTTGCTCACACTTTGCCTGTCTTCAACTCTGTCTAGCCTCTGACCCTTGGTTTATTACCTCCCAGCCTAATAAAATTTATCCCTAATCTGATGACCAAATTTTTCGCTACTGGTAGGAACTTAAAGTTGGAGAACCTGTTGTTGGACAAGCAGGAGAATTTGAAGATTTCAGACTTTGGCTTCGCCAAGATGGTGTCATCTAACCAAATTTGCCATAGCAGCTCCTTTTACCAGCGCTCCAGCATCTTTTCTCAAGTCAGCCAGACCTACTGTGGCAGCTTTGCTTATTCCTGTCCAGAGATCTTGCGAGGCTTGCCCTACAACCCTTTCCTGTCTGACACCTGGAGCATGGGCGTCATCCTCTATACTCTAATGGTCGCTCATCTGCCCTTTGATGACACCAATCTCAAGAAGCTGCTGAGAGGGACTCAGAAGGAGGTCACTTTCCCACCTAACCATGCCATCTCCCAGGAGTGCAAGGTGCTGGCTCTGTGAGGAGGGATGAAGCTTAGGGATGATCTGTGGAGGGGACTGAATACCAGACCTGGGCTCGCAGTCTGGGGGAAGGCTCTTCCCACAAAGAAGCCATCTCACACTCTAGTCCTTTTCCTGTTGGAATGGGAAGGGCTTACAGGGTCAATCTGAGTCAGGCTTATAAACATATTTCAGCTTCTGTCCCTTCAGGTCAGAGGAGTTTATGCAAGGAGTGGCCTCCATGGGCTGCCTTCTTTTGCAGGGAGTGCCTGGCTCTCCCTGCAGCATAAATCCAGGCCTATAGGCCCTTTTACCAGAGTAGTGAGATGGGTTGTCCTTCATTTTTAGGCCCAGTGCTCAGTGCCTGTGTGCCAGAACAAGAGCAAACTCAGTCAAGACCTCTTTCTCCTCTGCCCTAGAGTTTGATTCTCCAGATGCTGTGCCAAGCTGCCAAGCGTGCCACCATCCTGGATATCATCAAGGACCCCTGGGTGCTCAGATTTCAGGCTGAACCACCAACCCATGAGATCAAGCTGCTTGAGGTCATGTTCCAGCCTCCCAACACCACTAATGCACAACCATTGGAATGAGATGAAAGTGGTTGAGGCAAGGGCCTGAGGGGATCCAGACAGAGGGTTTGGGTTGACAAATCTTTTACACCAAAAATAAATCCAGTTTTCATAGTCTTTTTATCAACTAGGGTCAAAGATGGGTTACTAAAGGGAATCTTAGTGGGAAAACTACACTCGGGTGGATTTTTGCTCTAAGCCTGGAACCAGGAATCTTGGCTGCTGTTCATTTTATTTTAAGGTTTACAGTGCAGCTTGTGTGGTAGGGGTATGCAACACCTGAGTTTAGATTTTGCAAGCTCTGTTATTCTAAGTATGTACTTTCTCATTTTATGTCCTTTGTTCTCTAATGTTCAAGGAGTGGGTGGGCAGACACCCTGGCTGTTGCATTTTGACTGTGGCTTTATTTGTATATAGTCCAAAGTGGTGACATCAGTTGGTCTTTTCCTGATGAGTATTAGGGTGTATTTAATACCCTGATTCCTTCAGCATCGTCCACTGCAATGTTAATCTCTATGGAAATAATGCCAGGGTTTCAAGGTCCTTTGCTCCTACTCCCATATGCAGAGGTGACTAGAAGTTACAGAGATCTAACCAAGTTTCTTAATGGTAAATGTAATCAATGATGGCTTTTGGATAAAGGACACACACCTGCCCTGCTATTAGTTTTCTCTTTATCCTTGAAAATGTGCTTTACAAAGGGAAAATGGGTAGTACATCATGGGGCTGTCTTGACAGAATCAGAACTTAGGAAAAGAACCAGTGGAAGGAGAAACTAAAAGTTTATTTTTGTTTTTTTTTATTTTTTAAATTTATGTATTTGGTAAAGGGTCTCACTACATAGCTCAGACAGATTCATAGTGATCCTCCTATTTTCGACCTCCCAATGCTGGGATTACAGGCACATGCTACCACACCTGGACTCCTGGCCAGCGCAGCATGTGATGCCAGGGATTGAATCCCAGACCCTGAGCTTGCCAAAGCAGATGCGTAGTTCACTGAGCTACCTTGCCAGCCCAAAGCTAAACAATTTAGAATTTTTTTTAAATATTTATTTTTATTTATTACATTTATTTATTGTGTGTGTGTGTGTGTGGCCAGCTCAGCCCACCAGGGGGCGGGTCTGGCTGGCATGTGGTGCTGGGGATCGAACCGCGGTCCCTGTGCTTTGCCAAGCTTGTTTCAAGTAGGTGCTTTAGACCACTGAGCCATCTCTCCAGCCCCTTTTTTTTTTTTTTTTTTTTTTTTTTTTTTTTTTTTTTTTTTACATTTTAGAAATTAGAACAAGAACCAGTTGTAGAGTCTTAGGGCTGGAGAAAACAGTACAGACACATGGGATCAACCTACCCAATTTTACTGGAAGAAGGCACTATAACAGCTCTTACAGAGATGGGAACTCAGCAGAGCCTTCTACAGCAGGACCGTTCTAACTTGCAAGTTCTGTTAGGGATAGGAAGGCAAGAGGCCCTTTTCTCAGACAGGGTCACACTAGCACTGCAGGACCCTCTCAAGAAAGCCATGCTCCACTGGTCAGCACTTGGCATTTGAGGCCAAGGGACCCACGCAGACAGCCTTGGGAAGAGAAGCCCAGGCTCATCAGGATACCCATTCAGCTGTTCTCATCTGCTTTGAGAGCTTTGGGGACAGGACAGACCAAGAAGAAAGAAGTGTTACTGCCTCAGCACTGTCCAGCTATGCCCTGCTCTGATACCCAGAGCTTGCTAGGATTGTCCTCCCAGCAATGACATGAGGTGCGGTCCTCTGCTCGCTGGTTTGCTGCTTGTTGCCATAGCACCTTTATGCAAGTTGGGAAGGTCCACCTAGTTTATAGCATTGGCAGCCCTAAGGCAGGCTGTGCAGCCTGCTATGTGGAACACAGGCTGGAGTCTAGATTTCTGCCCCACTCCCTTTAGTCCCAACCCATAATTCAGTCAATAACTTGCACAACTTACCTGAGCTGCCTTTTTTCTGGACCTTTCATAGCAGGATAGGTGAGCAATCATTTTACCCCAAAGTTCTCCAAACCCACACAAGTCCCAAAGATAATGAATCGCCCTGGATACGTGGTGCAGCAGGCTGATGAGTGGGAGGTACATTAGGCAATTGAACAGGGGGTTCTTGTCACCCACATATAACAACTCCTGGGCCAAATCCTCCTGCTCCACTTCCTGTATTTCTTCCAACAACTCATTCTAGACCCAGGATGAGAAAACTGTTAACATTGGAAACAGCCAGTTCCTAAAACATTGCTTTTAGAGTTCCTTCCCAACATGGTCCCTAGAGCCTCTCTGGGACATTCTTTCTGGCCATGCTGTACTTTGTCCAGCATTCCAGAAATTCTTGCCTCAGTCTCCTCATCAACATCAACTGGAAAGCCCAGCGGCCAAGAAAAAGCCTCTGAGATCTGGGCCATGTCCCGTTGTTCTATGATGACAACCATCAGTTCATCCACCTTAATCCTTGTGTAAGACATAGCTCCAAGAAATTAGGCATCCACTTCTTCTGACCTTCTCACTTACTTGGATGAAGTCTGTCTTTTCATTATGAGACAACTGTATCAGAAAAAGAGAAAGAGCCATGTCTGCGCTCCGAAATTGCAAGAAGTTCAATTGGAGAAGACAGGCTGCATTCCTTTCCCTAGAGGGAAATAACTTGTAGTCCATAGAATGCCCTAGATAGCAAATGCAATTTTTTCTAGCAAGAGGGGAAAAAGAGGTCTGGTCAATAATCATGATGTAAATTCACATTCAGAGAGGCTTTAAGCTTCAAAGTGTAATACCAAGCCACCCTGCCCAACCTCTGGTCCCCTCTATCGCTCACCTTGCCACCACACACACTCTCACATGTCCTGGTAGGCTTTCTTCCTGCCTTGGGCTGCAAGCTCCATGGTACCAAGCTGTTCTGTATCGGTGGTGGCATTCTCAATGGCCTCATGCTGAAACTACAGGATGACAATATCCCATTGTTTTCTGCCAGCTGTTGCTCCAATCTTTTTCCACAGGCATGCAGGGTGGCTGACGCAGCCCACACCCTGATCTGACCATCCAAGTCAGAGAGGCACTTGCTTCAGCCCTGGGCCCTCTCCAGTGGTTCCTTTCCCTCATTACCTGTCTTGTCCTTGGTCCCATCCTTCTTGAATGACTATATCTCTTGGTGACTCTTTTGGTCCAGAAGCTCATCATTTGAACAGTGTCTTGTCTGTCTGCTCCAGTTTCTGAATTGGTTTTTCAGGGTTTGGCCCCTGGTTCTTCTTCACTGGGGAGTCCAGTGGAGCAGCACATATGGTGCAAAGAAAACTACTGGCTGCTGATCATTTAGAGGATACTGTGCTATGCACCTGTCTTACTGGTAATGACCACATGACTCTTTACCACAAATATACCATCTTCACTTTACAAATAGGAAAACAGGCACAGAAATGTTGTTTTGTCTAAAATCACAACTAGTAACAGAAAAAGCAGCAATCACAATGTGCCTATATGACTTCTGTCTCAGTTACTTTTCTCTCATTGATGGGATAAAATACCTCACACCCAAATTCAATGAAGGAAAGGTTTATTTAGCTCATAGTCAGTAGAAGTTTCATTCCATACTTTGCTGGTTCCAAGGCACAGTGACACATGGCAGAGAGCAGTAGTTCATGCAGCAGAAGACAGCAATGCACAAAGGGAGGGGCAGAAGCTGCCTCTTGCCTTTCCTTATATTTGCTTATATTGTGTTCAGGCTATCCACCCCAGGGTGGGTGTAGCACTCACACCCATAATCCCAGCACTGGGTCAAGAATTAATCACAAACTCTAGAAGCTGCCCCATTGACTGCATGAACTCTGGGGGGACAACTAGTCGCAAACCATAACAACTTCAAAAGCCAGTAGCTTTCTCATTGTTCCCAGATGCCTTCAGTCATTTCTGATTGCTTCTTTACAACTATGTTCTATCTGCTATGCTAGGAGATATGAAAGGTCCTCATTTCACAGACAAGCTAAAGGAGCCACAGAAAATAACTTACATTTCAGTTGTTCCCTTCAGCTTTTACACTTGTTTAACAGTAAGTCATTTTAAGGAAAAGCTTGATGGCCTTTACTGATAAAATTCTTCAATAATCTCTTACCCATTAATAAAATTAAAAACCTTTTTTCCATTTGATTTTTTGAGGAAAAAATAAGAAGTTGCTATATAGCTCAGTGTATTCTAGCCCAAGTGCCCAATCACACACCTGTGCACCAACCATGCATTTAGGGAGATTTACTGCGCCTTTCATATCTAGCAGTGTTTACCTCACCGTCCCTGTTCTCCCTTACTTTTCTCTCCCAAGTATTACACATCATATACTGTAACACATATACTCTCAGGGGCAGCCACTGCTTGTCTATTCCCGCACATATCACAAGCTTCCCTGCTTCTGTTACTACTACCAGAAGTACCTCCTGCTCCACCTGGAGACTGCTAGTCGTGTGGAACAACCACTCCAATGTCCACTTCTACTTCAACCTTTGTCTGATTTTCTGGGAGCACAGGCTGAATTGCTGTGCTGCTTCCTATATGTCTGTGTGTGCTGTCTTCCCTCTCCAGACCTGAGCTTGAAGAAGCTACTGTCTTCTTCCCCTAAGGAGTCTCTTGTTCAGCACAAGTAAACATCAGTGTTTAGGGAGGGGCCGAAGGAGACAGCTGGAAACAGGTTCCCTACCCTGTGCAGTGGAACCAGCAGGTCCCACTCATCCAAGCCTGTGTGCTCTGCGCCCCAAGCACTCGCATTGCCTGAAAGAAGAAAGGCAGAGGGGACAAGGCACCCACGCAAGGTGGCAAGATGAGGCCTCCTGGCACCAGTGGTGAGTTTGGCCCTACCACAGGCCAGCTTCGTGCAACTGTTCAGTCCCATGACTGGACACTGCAGTCCTCTCCTCTGCTCAGCCGGCACCTCCCATGGTCTCTCTGCTCAGCCAGCACCTCCCATGGTCTCTGATCAGCCAGCACCTTCCATGGTCTCTGCTCAGCCAGCACCTCCCATGCTCTGGGTGATCAGGGCTCACTGTTCCTGACAAGTTGGAGGAGCCCACTCACCGGGATCTAGGCTTTCCTACCTCTGGCTTAAGCTGGCAACCCATAACTTCTGCTCTGCTCCTCAAAGGTGGCTCTCAGAGCTAAGGGTCTTGGCCTGTCCCTTCTTTGTGCACCACAAAGATCTCACTGGTGACATCACTGTCAGCTGCAGAAAAACCACTGCTGTCACTATCCAGAATCCAGGGGCAGGCCAGATGTGTTCCCCTTAAAAGGTCTGGTTCATTTCTACTACCTGAAATATCATCTCCATCCCCAAACGGTCATGGCTCCCTAAAAGGAAGTGTGCTTTGAGAGGGCACTGTTAAGTGTGGTAAGAGAGTTCTTCATTACCTCTGCATCACAGGTGTAGAAGGCAGTACCTATGGGTCTAATGTGTCACACACTGGGGCAACCCACTTTCAGAACCCTCCTATCTCCAATGTAATATGTCTCTAAATAAAACATTCCTACTCTTGAAAACCAGTCTCACATGCTGGTTAGGGCATTTCAGGTTAACCAGTCCATTCACCACAGAATAGAGAAGGAATCCACAGCATGAAAAGGTCATTTCTACCACACAGGTACACTTTAATAGAGTACAGATGCACCTTTGGATACCTTTTTGATTTCCTTTCAGTTTTAGGTGTCTAGTGAGGCTCATCCACAAGGCTGGACCTCACGGGCCAGCTTGAGCCTTTGCAAATGTCTCTAATCCTTGAGTTAAGGTGTGAAGACTCATCCCATTCTGGACATGAATGCAGGTAACACCTAGAAGGAAAAGCAGTCACATGGCGTCAAGCTGTCAAGGCTCCCATTCAGACTCTCACCGTTTTGTGGTGTCCCCTGTCATGCAGATTGCCCACCCTGTACAGTTACTAATGCCTCCTCAGAACTCTTCCCTCATCCCCCAATGGCTAGCATCCCTGCCCAGTACCCAGGGTGGTGACATCTACAATATTCCGCTTCTCATCATCAAAGAAGATCATCTGTGAGAAAGCAACTCCAGTCTTCTGATGCAACCTGTGCAAGACAGCCAGGGCTTAGGCAGCGGCACCTGGGCTCCCCCAGCCCTCCCCAGCTCCCACCCTTGCCCTGCCTACCTCTCAAAGTGTGTAACCTTGCTGCCTGGATAGATTTCCCGATGAACAAAGTATCTGACAAGGCCAAAGAGCTCCAGTAGCTGGTTGGCCCCTTCTACCTCACCTGTCCTGCAAAAGGGTATAATGATGGAGTAAGAAGAGAGAAGGGCCAGGCTGTAAGCAAGGCTAAGTACAAGCAGGTGGAGGCCAGTCGGCCTGCCCCTTTTCTAGGATGGAGAGACTCTGAAGCCCCTTGCTGCACTCCACTGCCTTCTGTGAGACCCAGCTGGTGCGGAGCCACTGCTTAATAACTAAAAGGTATAGGAGAGGGTAGAATTAGGACACCCATCAAATGAGCTTGCACTTTTGTAATTTAAATTTTTATTAGCATATGTTTGTAAAACATAATGATTACATTCATCATGGGGAACTGGCAGACTTTGGAGGACATATCTTGTTTTTCTCTTGTACTCCTTGCCATTTGTTCCTCTCTTGGTCCCTGTACTTAAAAAAAAAAAAAAAAAAATTAAACTAGGGACTGAACATGGCTACATCCCTAGGCCTTTTTATATTTAAGGGTCTCTCCAAATTGCCCGGGCAGGCCTCAAAGCTGAGAACTTCCTGCCCCGGCCTCGCGAGCAGCTGGGATGACAGGCCTGCGCCACTCGCGCCATGCCTATAAAGTTCTGTACACAGCGTGTTACATGAAAAGTCTCCCCGTGCATGCGTCTTCAGTATCAGCAGCGATCCTGTACAGTCCCTCTTCTTACCGTGAGGCGGCGGCCATAGGAACCCCCAGGCCCTGCAATCGGTCCAGAACCGCCGGCACCTCCGGGTACAGCGGCACGCTCTGACCCCGCCTATCTCGTATTGATCCATCACTGCAGAGGGCGACAGGTCGCTCAGCCCTGGCCGCGCACCGCTGGTCCCGTCCTCCCTCTCCCGGCCTCACCTGCTCCGATGGAACGGCGGGTCTACGTGCGTGTCGACCCAGAAAGGCCAGAGCGTGTAATCTGCAGAGGAAGCAGGGTTAGGTTCGGCCTGGCGGGCGCAGGGACTGTGCCGCCGCGGGAAGAGGCTCAGGAGAGCGCGGCAGCCGACTCCCTGCCCGTCCCTCACCCAGGTCAAAGACTGCAAGCTTCGGGAGCCTCGCCATCACAGGTTTCTCCTTGTGCAACCTGGGGCTTTCTAGCCAGCCTGAGGGACAGGCAGCTGAGGACCCCCGTCGTGCCAGGTGCCAGCCCTCGAGTAGCGGCGGCTAGAGCGTCGCCACTCTAGAGTCAGGTGCCAGCCGGGGGCCGTGCCACAGCGCCTCCTGCAGGTGGGCGGGAAGGCTCCAAGGACAAACTCGATGTACTGTGTTACTTCTCCAGTCTCCTAGCTTTCCAGTTTCCACCAGAGTAGCCAGGGCCAGAGAAGCCTTTCCTTGTTTCTTGTTTTGTGTGTGTGTGTGTGTGTGTGTGTGTGTGTGTGTGTGTGTGTTTTAAAGTCAGTCCTTTCCTTTTTTCCTTGCTTTTTTGGTGTTCTTTCTTTTTCCCTGTTCTGGGGATTCAACCCAGAGCCTCCTCAGTGAGGTACATCCTTTTTTTCTTTTTTTTTCTTCAGTTGAGACCCTGTCTGGTTAAGCCACCATATTGCTCAATTTGTTCTATCTTAGTATCCTCTTGCCTCAGTGTCCCAGAGTACTGGGATTACAGATGTCTGCCACCATACCTAGTGCAAGAGAAGGCTTTTCTTTTAGCACTGGTCTCATTTTATCATGCTTACTGATGAAATGCCCATCATAGCTTACTACTTGTTCAACCTTTCTCTATATCAGCCTCTTGATAGGATAGAACCTAGAGCTATCCAGCCATAAAGAATAAATTGTCTGCAGCTCAGGGATGTATTTCATTCCTGTAGTCCCAGGTGGTCTGGGGGCTGAGGCTGAAATACCACTTGATCCTAGAATTTGGAAATCATCCTCAGCAGCACAGCCCCTGTCTCAGAAATCAAAACAAACTAAAAAATGTAGTTTTTGCAAAGCTGTTAAAACTTTCTTCAGCCATGCATAAAAGTCCTGCAAAGCCAGAAGCAGATATTTTATTCTGTTTTTCACCATCCGCATCAGTGGTGTGCTGGCAGATGCATGACAACCAGATTGAAGAAGGAATCTGATTTTACCTGTTCTGCATTTCCTGCAACATTCCTACCATGGTCAATTTCAAGCTACCAATGCAGTCACTTAACATGGGAAGAGATGCTAATAACTGGCTCTTAGGAGCCAGTGAGAGGTAGCTCTAGTGCTGTACTCTGATAATCCCTTTCAGAACTTCAGCCTTCCTGCTGGCCTACTTCTTCCACTTTGTTAGCACCTGGTATACGTAACTTGTTAGCACTGGGCCTAGTTTGAGTTCAGCCACCTTTGTGCATTAGAAGGAAAATTCCAGGAGGCTAGGAAATAAATATTTTATTGATAACCAGGGAAACATCCATAAGAGAGGAAGTGCACAGGGCTGTAAATTAAAATCCAATACACAGCAAAGTCCAGGAACACTGCATCCTGGGGGCCTCACAGCCTCCCACCAGTAAACACACAACACTGTGCAGCCAAGACAGGAGGCAACAGCTCAGGTGTCCCAACCAGTGACAGAATATATACTTCACTATAAGCAACAGGACAAGGAGGTACAGAGGAGGGAAGACTCATCATTGCCTAAGACCACCTCCTCCTCTCAGGCCAACACCAGGTGGAGGACAGAACCACCTAGAATCTTGTAGTCAGCCACTATCTTCTCATCATTCCTGCAAGGAGGGAAAAAGCATTAAAAATCCCATATACAGCAGGGGTACCAACCTTTCATGCATCTCTTTGAGATTCCTGTGAATTTTATTTTTTTTATTTTTTATTTTTTTTTTAAAACATTTATTTATTTTTATTTATTACATTTATTTATTGTGTGTGTGTGTGGCCAGCTCAGCCCACCAGGGGGCGGTTCTGGCTGGCATGTGGTGCTGGGGATCGAACCGCGGTCCCTGTGCTTTGCCAAGCTTGTTTCAAGTAGGTGCTTTAGACCACTGAGCCATCTCTCCAGCCCCCTCCTGTGAATTTTAATGAGTAAAAATTTAAATCTTCATTTTTACTAAAGCTACACATTTTGGGGCTGGTGAGATGGCTCGGTGGTCTAAAGCACCTACTTAGAACAAGCTTAGCAAAGCACAGGGACCAGGGTTCAATCCCCCAGCACCACATGCCAGACAGCCCCGCCCCCTGGTGGGCTGAGCTGGACACACACACACACACACACACACACATAAATAAAATAAATAAATTTAAAAAATAAATAAATAAACAAAGCTACACATTTGTATTTTTATTTTCATCATGTCACATTTTACAACTGTGGTGGTGCAGCAGATCAAAAATTATTTAAAGTTTAGTTTAAGCCCAGGGCTAGGGATATGACTCAGTGGTAAAGTTCTTGCCTTGCATGCAGAAGGCCCTGGGTTTCATTCCCAGCACTACACACACACACACACACACACACACACACACACACACACTTAAATATCCAAAGAGGCCTGGAGCAATTGCTTTACTGAGAATCATCATTAGGAGAAAGCCTCAGGAAAACAAAAGAGATCTAAGAAATCCCTGGCCTTTTATTTTTAACCCAAAGATGTAAGAACAAAAGTCCAGAAGAAAAACATCTGTGTAGGGAACAAACATCTCTAAGAGTAACTTTATTAATTCTGCTCAGCTGTTGCCCTGAAGATCTGCTCTTTAATCATGCACTCCAGAAGCCCTGTGCTTTTGCTCCACAGGTACCTTCACCTTTGTACTCATTTCAATCATTCCTCAGGCCAGCATCTCCCCACTATGCTCCTTTTTTGTTTTATAACCGACATTGAGCAGAAGGGAGAGGATACATGGTAGAGTGACATTGGGTTTGGTGTAGAAAGGTCATCATGGCTTCCACATTGGAGGGTATGTTGGAGTAGCATACAGAGAGTTCTTAGGGTGCAAGAAAAAACAGAAGAGACATTTTTTTTTTTTTTTGGTTTTGTGTGATACAGTAATGAGAGCTGCACTAAATATTCCTTGAAGTCAGAAGGACTAGTATAAATTTCAATTCAAGAAATCAGTATTAAGCTAACTTAAAGAATTTCTAAGGACACCAGAAGACACCTTAATTAGCTCTTGAGCACTGAAATTCAAGATTATAATTATATTACTTCATATCTGTTCTAAACTTACATCCTAAATTGCAGGTCTCATTTTCCTAACTTCTTTCATAGGCTATGGACTCCTGATATCCAAACATAATAATGTAGTAATTGTGTAAGTCATAAATGTTGTGTTCTAAAGGATCTAATCTTCCATCTGTCCTTGCTCTTAAATATCTGTCCACCACAGATCTGGGCATAAGATCAGCATTAGATTGTTTATCTGAAACACTGAAATCACAGGTTTGATCCCAGAACTAAAGAAAAAGAAAACGTCTGTCCACAACAGTCTACAGTGATCCAGACCATGAACATACCATACTTCATCTAGATTGGGGTAATTTCTTAACTTCCACTGTTTTTCTTGCTTTAGTACCCTTTCTCAAAAATCCAAACTCCAAAGACCCTGTAATACAAGATTGCTCCTGTATGATGACAAGATTTGTCCCTAATACTCTTTGTAAGGACTTTTGTCAATACCAATTGCAGCAAGGAGTTTAAGTGTTAAACTTTCCAATCTATACTCCAATTCCTAAAGGACAAGGGGCCAGTCAAATAGCTCAGTGGATTAAAGTGCCTGCTTAGGCAGAGAGCACAATCCCCAGCATGCCAGGTCAACCCTGCCCCCGGTGGGCACGCTGAGACTGAGATTGGGAGTGGAGGCATGTGCCTGTAATCCCAGTGCTTGGGAGGCTGAAAACAGGAGGGTCACTATGAATCTGATCTACGTAGTGAGACCCTGTAGACCCTGTACTAAATACATAAAAAAAAAAGAGAAAAACTTCATTCAATATGTAATACAAAGGCAATTAGAAAATCCATCAAAAAGTTCTTAAAAGAGCCAAATCTAAACATGAAGTCAACTAAATGATTTGAGCAGCTGACAGACCAGAGAATAGGAAAAAAGAGTCCATTTGGCCTTAAAACTTACAACATTTGGGGCCGGGGAGATGGCTCAGTGGAATAAGCGCTTCCCTGGCAAGCACAAGGGTCTGAGTTCAATCCCTGGTTCTGCAAAAACAAACAAACAAACAAACAAAAAACCAAAAAACTTACAACATTCTCCTTCATGTAGCAGAAGGTCAGCAATATCAGAATCTATCCCTTTAGGGGCTGGGGATTTGGCCTAGCAGTAGAATGCTTGCCTAGCAAGCTGGAATCCCTGAGTTTGGTCGTTGGCACCAAAAACAACAACAACAACAACAAAAAAACCCTAAAAAACAATTCAAATAAAGGCAGAGATATTTAATTCATCTTTCTAATCCACATAAAGCAGTTTCTGACATACAATCACCCAATAAATATTTGAGGAAAGGCTGAACACACTGATGATTATTTTGTTTGTTTTCGTTTGGTTTTTTGAGACAGGGTCTCACTTCAGGGTCATCCAGATTGGCCTTTAATTCAGTATATAGCTCAGGTGGACCTTGAATATGAGATCCTCCTGCTCAGTCTCCTTGTTGCTAGGACTCTAAGTGTGTGCCACCACACACAGCTTTGTCTCCAGAAATTATTAGAAATATACTACTACTGACTGGGGAGATAACTCAGTAGAATGAGCACTTGCCTGGAAAGTGCAAAGCCCTGAGTTCAATCCCCAGTACTGGAAAAAAAAAAAAAAAAAAA